ATAGATAGATAGATAGATAGATAGATAGATAGATAGATAGATAGATAGATAGATAGATAGATAGATAGATAGATAGATAGATAGATAGATAGATATGTTTCCTCTTGACCTCAGACATTACCCCCTTCGTACTGTCGCAGCCAGAGAATAAATACAGAGGTGGACTGCTGTCTACTCCAGAATGTCACATTACAGTGAGACACAGACTGAGCTGAGACAGCCTGGCCTGTGTTCAGCACAGCTGGAACTGCAATGAACAGGAAGTTTCAAAGTCACAAGAGACATTTTTAAGTATCAAAACCTTTCACATGCATTAGACAGAACTTCTTCAGTTGGCTGTGGTCTTAGGTAATAATGGTGAACTTCCTTTGTCCCAGTACTCAAAATGTTAAGTACAGATCCGTAAGTACAATCAGATTTCTTAATTTCTTCTATTTTCCCTCATTTCATGCAATTGTAATGTTTTAAAGATACACAGATATAAAGATTTACATTTAAAAAATATAAGGGTAAGCAGAGGATATAAAACATTATATTTTATATAACTACTTTCTTATATTCACCCAGATGGTATTGTCTGTTGTCTAATGTCTAAAAGGTTCTGAGTGTGAATATATCCATAAGTTACCAACTATTTATCACCACGAGCAACAGACTATACATTTCTTTTATTGATCCCATGTCTATGTAAAGTCAAGACTGAGATAACCGTGGTGACCATCTGCCCCTTTTTCCATCTGTCATCTGGATCCTCCTTCAACTCTCAGCATGGTCACTACAGAACATCTTGCTACGTTGGGCTCCACAGCTGATGAATGGCATCCTCTGGGAGGAGAAAACACATTGTTCGCCATATTATCAAATCCTTAGCATTTGTTCATACCGGTTTCTATAGACATATACTTTCTGTCATCCAGAGTGCCAAAATTTGACTCACCATTGAAAATCTAATCCACATTGCTTTCTCAATCGGCATTTTTATTCTGGCTTTGAACTGTTGATTTGTGGTCTCTTTTCCGTGGTGTTGAGCCAGTTGCTAACAATAAATTATGCAACATGCGTGACAAACCATGCAATGGATTTTCTGATCTTACTCAGAATTCCTAAAAAGTTTGGACTTGGACTTTGTTCAACCAAACCTCAAAACAAATGAACAAAACTCACAAATGGAGCCTCAGGTTATGTGCGTAAGGTTATCTAAAATTCCACAGAAATCAAATTTGATGAAAACTGTGTCTGTCTTGAAAATGAAGCTGTAATGTCAGCCAAACCTGTCATGACCCACAATGACTCCTTTCTGTGTTTCTGTAGTAAGTCAGTATTTTTAACAAAAACATCTGATACCAAAGGTCACATAAAACCTTCAGCTACCCTTATTATGTGGGCTTGTTTGGGGCAAAATAAAAGTTTATGGTTGCAAAGATGTAATGTGTTGGATTCCTTTGGACTTTTCTGTGTTTATCTCTTAACACTACATGCTTACATTGGTGTATTATCACAGTAACAGTGGTTTTGGATCAGAGTTGATCCAAAACCATGGTTGCTACTGTAGCTGTAGTTTTAGTTCAAGGATGTCAAACTCATTTTACATTGTGGACTGTATACAGCCCACTTAGCTCTTAAGTGGGCTGGACCAGTGTAACTCCCCTTTCTGTTAGTGTAAAGAAACCTAACTACACATTTAATCCCTAAGAAAATTAAAATGAAGTGCAATTTTAACAATAAGTCTCAGTTTTTCTATATAATTACAAAATCTTGCCTAATTGTGCCACAAATCTGCCATATTAAAGAAATATGTCAGGAATAAATGTGTAAAATGGCAGTAAATGTTCTAGTTGTTCATTCCCCAGTTAAGTCCTGTAATAATAAAGTAGAAAGTTGTTAACTGACTTTTTTAACTTTAACTGTTAACTGTGACCCAACTGGAAAAGTTGGAAATGTCTACAGTTGTGAACAAAAAATAAAAATTAGGAATTCTTCTTTCTTTTTTTTGCTTTACTTTTGTGCAATATGAATGGCCATGGTGGAGGGTCATTTGATTTTCTTTATCTGTTAGTTATATTCTTATATGTAGTATGAAGGGCAATGGGGGTGGGGAGTTTTTTTTTTTTTTTAGGAAAAGCTATAAAACCTATAAAAATACAGTTCACATTTTCCAAAGCCTTCCAGATTCTGGCCCCCGGGACTTATGTTAGACATCCCTGTTTTAGGCTTTTCAGCTGCCTGGGAGCAAGAACCAGACAGCCTGGCTGTTGTTGATTAAGGTCATTGAGGTGGACGTCATGGTGTACAAAGACTCACGATCACATACTTGTCATGGTCCCCGTGCCTGCCCGGCTGGCCCTGTGTGGCTACGTGTGTTGCTTTTGTCTCTCTCCTCTCTCTCTCCTCTCTCTCTCTACTTGCTGCCTGGGCAGAGCTCATTGTGGGCTCCCGCCCCTGGCCTTCACCACCTGCAAGCAATCACCTGTGGCTCCTCACCTTGTTTGCTCTCGCTACTTAAGGCAGTGACTGAGAGCACCTCTCCACTGGACTATTGAGTAACGCTTGTCAGTGCTACTTTAGCCTAAGCCAGTTTTGAGCTCTCTTCGTGAAAGTTTTCCGTGTTGATTCCTGATCTCTGTATACAGATTCTTCGTGCTCGGTTTGGAAGTTTGGACACTGAAGCCTGTTCGTGAGTGCCGCAGTGAGAGTGGCGTGTGTGAGGAAAGGACCTTTCCAAGTGCATTGTTCTGTTCGTGTGGAGCGGAGCAAGAGAGGACACTTTTCCCGATTCTTCCCTGTACCCCTGGGAACCTTGGCCCCCTTCTCCTTCACCTGTATATAGTGCACCGGGAGTGTGTAAATAAAATTAAGTTTTCTGTGATTTCAGTCTGCGCCGAGTCCTCCCTGTTTCCTCGTGACAATACTATGCATATTTAGATGTAATATGTTTGTGCTCACTGGGTTGCCTTTATGAGGAAGTTAACTTGTCTCTGGGATTCACAATCGCCAGGAATTCTTTAATGTGTCTATAGAAGAGAAACTGCAACTTTCACCCTTCAAAGGAAGAATGCATCCAGCCCAGTTTAGTGTGTTTGAGTCATCCTCAGACCTCAGCTATTGTGACTCCCTTTCCCAGCACAGGCATCTGCTTGCTGGTAAAGGATTATTTCTCCCGCATAAAACCTTTTTAGTACAAGGGAAAAAATGTTGGACCATTGTTGTACCAAATGTGTTTTTTATCACAACTTGGCAAATCATTGTTTGCCAAGATTCCTGATGTTATCATGGTTTTAAAAAACATGCTGTCTTTACAGCCACCTCAGGTCTAGATAATCACCATAGGTAAAACTCCCTGATGGGGTATTCCCATTTTGTAAAATGTTGGGTTTTTTTGATTGGTTCTTTGTTTTTCTCCACTTACCTACAAAGGTGTCATATAGAAGATGGACATACTGTGACATCATCCATTGGTTAGGGAAGTCTGAGTGTTTTGAGTGTCATCATTGAGGTTTTTGAAACATGGAAAGTAACTGGTGGATCTTACTGGACACGCTCACATGGTAGCTATTTGTCAATCACATATGAGTCATTATCTTATTGCCCTTTAAGACTCTAGAGGACACCATCATTTACTAAATTAACACCGAGGTCAGAAAGAACTGAACTAAAAAAATGAAAGAGAACTGAACAATTAAGAACATCAACTCATCATGTAGATGTTTACTGAGGGTCAAAGGTCAATGTGAGCCTAAGGTTTGTTTTACCCCTGACTTCTATACAACAAGATCTCTTTCTTTTCTTTTTTTTGTCAAGCCAGAGGCGTCAGGCACCTCAGCATTCACTTTCACTTTTCAGGCCCCGGAGGCCGTTACTTTATATAAAGTCTATACTCACTTTAAGACTGGGTGGTAAAAATACACTTGGGTTGAAGTGGCATGAAATAGAGGTTATAACAGCTGTTTGTGAGTTATCTTGAGTTATTTTTCCATAATATGGTATACTTTTAAATTCTGAACAATTGCACATGTAAAAATGTGCTATAAGTCTCACTGCAAAGCCCACATAGAGGGTTTCCCACTGCTTCTGACGGACTGTCAGAGTGCTGAGGTAATGCTTCCTCAGCCTCATCTGCTCTCTTGGCTGATAGAGACATATGATTCACTGTGTACGTCTCACTAAAAATTATAGTCAAGCATTGATCGTCTGTATTTGTGCTCGTCTGTGTGCAGCCTGCACATGTCATTAAGTGTGTAGTGTGTGCGTGTGTGTTTGCCTGCAGGGTGTGGATTAATGCTAGTTTATTGTTGTGTTTTTGTGTGGGTGCCTTATTAATCTCCAAATGTTTGACTCACTGAGAGTATTGCTGGCAGGAACCTCAATCTCCTTGTTTGAATAAACAAAGTTATATAACAGAGTTAAGGCCTGGCAGTATGATGGGTTTTTTTTGGGGGGGGGGGGGTTGGTGATAAATGGCAGGTATGGAAAATCAAGAATTTTGGTGGGGAACACAGAAGGGTCTTGACCTCAGTGGTGCTCTTCTTCTTCGGGGATCTAGGTGTGCCATTATGAAACTCTGTATTCTAAATAGAGAGGTGGTAAAAAGAAGAGTGATGTCTGACACGGTTTTAGAAAAAAAGTGCAAAAATAAAAGCGTAATATGATGTCATGCTTTTTCTCTTTTCTTCACAGCTGCTAACTGGGACCCTGGATGGGAAGCTCAGGCTGTTTAAGTCTAGCAGTGGCTCTTCTTTGTCCTGTGACACCAGCGCTGCCGTGCACAGTGTCCTCAACAAGACTGTGTAATTACAGCTGGCCCCTGCAGAGCCCATGCAGGTTTTATTAATGCAGTTCCAAGTGGGATTTTCATTGGGAAAGAAGAATTTAAACGTTTTCTTTTTTTGCTCTTGGTTTAATGAAAAACAGGTAGAGTTATATAAAAAATGTGCTCTTGTGTGTTCTTCCTCAGTGCTTAGAATTGTCAGTAGAAACCAGCTATTTCAGATCATTCGTCTTTGTTAAACTTCCTGCCCATGCTTCCAGTGCATTTCTTATTTAAAGGGAGCGCAGTGCTTTCTTTGAACTCATTTAGCCGCATTTTTGTGATGCAAGATTTAGTCAATTAAACATAATATCGCAAAATTTGCCAAAAACAATTATTATTAGCAGTTATTCACATCTGTTGCACATTCTGAATGGTCAAGCATAACGTTTAGTTTGTTCAGTATGTGGAACAGATGTACTTCTTATATCGCTGGCTGTGACCTCCACTTAGCAGATCAGCACGTAGAGCTATGACATCAACTGGGTGCAACCTCTTTGGCTGCCAGACACACAAATGCTCCTACTGTTCATACTGATACACCCATCTCCATTGTTTGTGCTGGATGTTTAGTCCTTTCTACCTTAGTCACAACAAACTGTCAGGTACTCTAATACATAGTAGAGGATGTAAAGGCTCAATGTGAAATTTACATTTGACATGGTTACATTGCTGAAGTTAATGTGAGTGTGGCGTATGAATACACTGTTTCATCCTGGTTGTGTGTATTATATTTACTCATTTTTATTGTTGTGTTTAATAATATGTTGCTCTGATACTCTGATGTTACACTCAGGAGACATCAGTACTGGGTCAGACTTATTTTTGCCTTAATTCTTTGTGGCATACATTTAACAAGGTGCTGTAAACATTCCTCAGAGATTTTGGTCAGTAAACTCACTGTCATGTTCAATGAACCAGTTTGTACTCACGTACAGATAAAGTACAATAATTAATTATTTGTACTATTTTACTTCCTACCTCTGGTTATGAATCAGATTATTAAAAACATTTAAAATGTTCCAAAACTCAATAACAACACAAAGATTGTTGCTCAGTTAAGAAGTGACATTTGAATCTGCTACCAGCTGTAGCCACCTGTGTTGGCACACAAACTATTTGTACATACCTTTGAGATGTATTATAAAATAAATCGGTGAATCCTATATAAAATAGTTTCCATAGCACAGTTCAGTATAAAGATTAAATTAGCTGCAGGGACCAAAACGGTTTTTTGCACAACACTGTAAACATGCTTATTTCAGCTGTAAACATTTTCGCATGAAGCCTGTAGGACTGACTCAATTTTGAAGCAAACCTCAAGTGGCCGGTTAAGGAACTGCACCAATAAATTAGCTTTATTTTAACCTCTTTTAGGTTTCCTCTTGGTTTGCAACAATACTATTTACAAAAAAGCTGGCAAGCTTAAATTTCTAATGTTTCCTGTTTGATGCAAGATTCCTTTTTATTTTCTGTGATCTTTTTTAAAACTCTTCACTTATTCCACATTTGTGATGTTACAGTCTTATGCCAAAATAGATTCAATTCATTCTTCACCTCAAAATTCTACAAAACAATTTAAATCTATTAAAAATAATAAATTAAAATATAACATGTATATTCTGAGCCTTGGCCATGACACTCTGAACTGAACTCAGGGGCATCCTGTTTCTGCTGATCAGCTTGATTGGAGTCCACCTGTGGTAAATTCATTTGATTCGACATGAAGGTACACACCTGTCTACATAAGGTCCCATAGTTGACAGTGCATGTCAGAGCACTAACCAAGCCATGACGTTTAAGGAATTGTCTGTAGACAGAGGAGAGGGTCCAGAAGGACCATTTCTGCAGCACTCCAGTAATCAGACCTGTGTGGCAGAACAGCCAAACAAAAGCCCCTCCTCAGTAAAAGGCACATGACAGCCAAAAGGTCTGCCAAAAGGCACCCAAAGGACTCTCAGACCAGAGAAACAAAATTCTCTGAAACAAAGATTAAACCCTTCGGCTTGAATGCCAAACATCATGTCGGGAGGAAACCAGCCACTACTGCAGAGCATGGTGGTGGCAGCATCATGCTGTGGGGATGTTTTTCAGCAGCAGGAACTGGGAGACCAGTCAAGATCAAGGGAACGATGAATGCAACAATGTACAGAGACATCCTTGATGATAACCTGCTCCAGAGCACTCTGGACCTCAGACTTGGCTGAAGGTTCAGCTCCAAACAGGACAACAAACCTAAGCACACAGTCAATATAACAAAGTAGAGGCTTCAGGACCACTCTGTGAATGTCCTTAAATGGCCCAGCCAGAGGCCACTAAGTCTCTATTCTTTTGTGTCATTCTTATATCTCCAAACAAGGTGACAGATTAATATGTTTTCTCTTACATTGATTTGGAAATAAAATCAAAAATTATTTTTGAAGTCACAAACTCATCAATCCTATATCGCATGTCCTCTTAGGTTCAACATTAAGATATTCTTTCTATCTCAAGTTTAATACCACAGTTTATTGCTAAGTAACGTTTCCTGGTGATGTTTAATTTTCTTTGGAAAAACAGTTACTATCTCCTGCTCTGCTGCTCCTGTCACCCCCACCATATTGTAAGCCTTAACTCAGTCTTCAGACAGGAAGGAGGAACGCTCATCCCCTATCTGCAGGGGGACATAATTTCAAGCATCACTCATCCCCTGTCCATTAGGAAAAGATATCATAGTTGACGCATTATGTGATGGTGCTAAATCCACTGATAGTCTGCTCAGTCTTAACGTCCTCAGACTGTTTTCCAAAAACTGCTCATCTGTGTCTTGTCCCCTGTCCGGTATTCTGTATTTGATTTACTCTGCCCTTTTTGGACTGCTTACTTTAATTGATACCAAGGCAGGCTGTCTGTGAAGATGTGCAGCGCGATCCTCAGCTAGATCATGAAGTATAGCTTTGAAGTTGCACAGTATCAGCTGCCAGATATGGATAGGATAGGATTTATAGGGTGGTACCTCTTGCTTTGTCATGCATTACATTATGTATGTACTGTGTGTGTGCGTGTGTGTAGGTGCATGTGTTTATGCCACAAAGACAGGTATGTACTGGCAACGCTGCGTTTTCCCTGTCACGGTGAGCTTTAGTGTTCCTGCAAGTAGGAGACACTTGTTATCGGAGCAGAATGATAAATTGTCTTTGGGGTAAATTTACGGAGCCATGTTCTTTCTCCATTTTCGTCCTGGAATGTGTGTATTCAGTGTCTTTCCTTGAATTAACCTGAATTCAGGGAGCATGTGCTCTCAAAACAAAGTAATATATTGCCATATGTGCAAATCCTTTGTCTGTGTGAGGTCATTTTGGGTCCACTCCCTTCATTGAGCTCACCACTAAAGAATGAAGTACACTTGAAAATAAAAAGGACTTCAATGATATCCACACCCAAACATTATGAGTGTCCAACATTCAATCTCTCACAGTCTTTTGTCATTGAAACTGACAGAAAGAAGAACTTTGTCTCCAGCTTTGGAATTATTAGATGCTGGATATGACAGCACTGAACATGGTGTAACGCTGGAGGAAGATATGCAGAGCCCTCAGCATAATATACAAATATGTAGATGTCGTTCCCCGCTATGTGGTTTGGTGGTCTTTTGGCTCGCTGGTCACAGTCTCATCAGCACTCTGAACACATTTCCCTTGGGTCATAATGAGGCAAGTGAACTTTACTGATGATCTACAGACTCGTGAGGATTTCTGCTCTTTTGTTCTCAAGAGTTCAAAGCTAAGGGAGTGGACACGTGTCAAAAACTGCTGTTCTGCTCTCTCAGTTCATTCTAGTATAAGCAAAGCTAATGGAACAACGTATAATGTTCTATAAATTGTGCCAAAGAAATCCAAACTGATGATATCTGTAATGATTTATATTCTGTACATAAATTACAGGAAAAATAACTGAGATTCAGCTCATACGCAATCTATTTAATGAGAGTCTTCAAATGTTCAGACACTAATGATGGTATCAGTCATCGAGCATCAGTATGCTACAGTGGAAGCAACCATACAACCATAAGCTGTACATAAAAGATGGAAGTAGCTAACGTGACCTTTATGCATTATGGTAGCTACTTCCATCTTAGTTTGTTCCACCTGATGATGGCATTTTGGCATCTTCTTGAAACCAGAGGTGGCTCAGACTGAGAAGCCAGCAACAGAGGATTCTCATACGGAAGCAATTTGGGAATCACAAATAGCTACGTCTGGAAACATAACCCAATTTATCTTGTAGTTTACTCTGAGTGTGATTATAATTTACAAAATAAACATAATTCTCTATTAAATAAGATGCGCAACTCGCAATTTAGATCAACAACTCACTAGGAAAATGTTTACTGAGGAGATAAATCAAGCGAGAAGTAGGGTCAGTTTCTCATATAATTCTTTTCAAGTAGACCTCTTTTTCACCTGCTGTTGACCATTATAAGGACAAGCAGGTTCGTGACACTTGATTGGCTATACTTGGACCAGCATGTTACTTCCATTGCTTTTTAGCCTGTGGGGACAACATCCATACATCCATTTTTCCTACTTATGTGGGTCCAGATCACCATGGCAACAAAATGCCTAGATCTCACTCCTCCCGGCTATCTCACCAGCAGTTCTGGTGGGACACCCAGAACACCAAGGTGTTCCCAAGCTAGTCAACAGTCGTAACTTCACCAGCATGTCCTTGGTCTCCTTCTGGTAGGACATGATTGAAACACTTCACCTAAAAGGTGCCCAGGAGTCATCTGACAGATGCCCAAACCATCCAACTGGCTCCTTTCCATGTGGAGGAGTTGGAGCTCTGCTCTGACACTCTCCAAAATGGCCAAACTTCTCATCCTTCCTCTAAGGGAGACCTCTGACTAGCACGGCGTAACCTATTTGTGAGTCACCCCACCACATTGACAAACTCTGAAGTCTTATCAAAGTGAACCAATCAATGCTCATTAACATGGGGGAGGGAAAAGAGGGAAGATTATTGCTAATGGTGTCAATGCTAGAAGGCTTGTTTTTGATCAGCCGTGTACGGTACTTTGTGTAAAACAACAAGCTATGGCTGTTCGGAGTCCAGTTCACATTAAATCTGTCACTCAGCCAAGTCAAGAACATTTTTGACTTTGACACCACCCTTCCTGAAAACCATCTAGTATGAGGCCCTGAGTACATACATTAGTTCATGCATCAGATATAACATGCTGTGTAGTCGCTGCCCTCTGCTTCTCCTTTTGTGGTCCACAAATTACAGATTCTATTTTGAACGGTGCAGCGCATGTCCCAGCCTAACCCCTTCTGCCTGCAACATTCAAGGTAACTGTAAATAATGACCATGAAAGATAAGGTTTAAAGTCACTAATAAATATTGGTGAAATATCCCAATGGAGCCACACAGGAAGACAGACAAGCAATTAGCGTCTTTAGTGTACTTGACTCTGTCCTGAGCAGCTCTGGGCTGCGTTGTGCAGACAACAACGGAAATACAGATTATTACCAGATGGTGTCATCCAGGGTACGAGGCATAAACATTGAAACCCTTAACACTCTGATAAATCAACACGAGACCCTTGCGGAGTTAGGGGGATAAATGGGAAAAACAGGAGCACGTAACACAGGATTCCAGATCCGTGAACAAACCCTGTTGAGGTAAAATGCATTCAAATACTGTTGATCGTTCGAAAAGGTAAACGTAACATGAAATCCAGAGGTGTCAT